CCTATACACCTATACACATATAATTTTAGATCATTTCAAATATACCCACAAAAATCTTTAGCTTGTAAATCTGGCTTCCCCTGCCAAAATGTAAATGTTTCATCTGTGCCAAGAGGCTGAACTGCATTGAAGTCAATGGCAACAAATCCTGACATTTAGTAAATGAGATCCCATTTTTCTCACTAACCCAAACCTCTTTTCTACTAATATTCATATCCGAAATATTCTTCTTACAGTTTTTTCCCTTGATTTTCAGCAAACCCCTTATGTGTGAAAAGCAAGAGTGCCTGATTTTGTGCCAAGGACAAATAGCTAAAGATTATAGACACACCATTAAAATGTTGATATATTGATTGGAACACTGTTTGCACTGGCTCATAAGAATAAGGAGAGACAAATGTGATTTTCAAAGGCTAGACAATGTTGAAATTTGTCATTTACAGTTAGTGTTAACTCTTTCTACAGCCTGCAGTTTTAAACAAGGTACACACCTTCCTTATCTTTGATGGCCACAAGTATTTAGATTGATTTTGTATTTTATTGTCAAAACATTACACTAAGTGATTACAAATAAGAAAAAGTTTAAGCTATGGATCAYCATGCTTGTGTATTACCAAATAAGCTAATAAGCTAAACATAAGCTTATTAAATGGCATAAAAAGAGTAAGAGAATAATCAATCTACCAGCACCTTTAGTCTATTATTAATGTCTCATGTATAGAAACAGAYGGTAACACAGCACATTCAACACAGTTGTCAACAGGTGTACTAATGAGAAACTACTCGTAAGTATCTATTTTTAAACATATCTTACCCTACTATGGTATCATTTGTAACGCAGTGATGGTTAAAAGTTCCAAACATCTGAACACCCAGAATTCCATAAAGCAGGAGAAAAAACAGCAAGAAAATTGAGACACTCCAGATCTGTTCCCCTGAGCGCCTGAAAACACAAAAGAGAGACACGTCTTTGCATATACTTTTGTTGAAAGTAACATATTTTAACCAAAAAYACGGGTGAAAAATTATGTACTTCAGAATGTTTGTGATTCGAGAACGAGGAAGCTCAAAGCGGAAGTAGATCCTGAAGGCCCGGATCATTATCAGTGCTCGGGGGATTCTCAGCATTCCCCAAGGAGACATCTGATCCACAAGTTTTGCTATTTCAAACACCTAAAACAAACAAAATAATCTACCAATAATGAGTTGATCAGCCAGTGCGTAGCCATTAAAGAGAATTGAAAACATAATCCCCAAACACAAATTTGTATTTCAGGCAAGAAGTGACACTCACCTGAAGCACCAGGGAGACCCAGATGAAAAACACCATGAATCCATCAAACATACACCAGCGATCTTTGACGTAAGARTTGTCCCCCTAAGATGAAACGAGGAAAGAAGAAATTCACCTTTAAAAAACTTATAAGTTAGAGAAAGTGAACATATATTAATACTAACTGAATACGAACATCCTTATTTTCCATATTTGGAAAAACAATATTACAAGCTTAATGGATGTCTATGGATCTATACCAGCATTTCTATCAACTTCTAAAAATACCATTTGACACAAGATCCTTTAAAAATGATAGAAAGTCTTTTAGTGGCATCCATAATGGCACAGCAGTTTTCCAAAAAGGGCAACCGACAGAATGTGAAACTGCAGTTCCCACTTTGACAGATTGACCAYAATGTTCCAGCAGCCTGTTTTAAACATGATAAGACTAAATTGTTAAGCTCCTACAGTGTGAACAATCTGAAATGTCAAGGGGCCAGTYGGGCCCTAATTACAACTTGTGMAGAGAAAGAGAGAAAGAGAAAGAGAGAGGAGGGGAGGGAGAGAAAAAGACTGTAAGAAACTCTTAGTGGGGTCAGTCTTCCTCAGGAAGAAAGGATACAAATGGAAGGGTATGTTCTGAAACACTCTACAGATAAACACCATGTCTGATTCCATTTACTGACAAGAACAAAAGCATGCAATTATGTTCCTACACTATGTGGATCATTTGTTTTCTGCAAGAACATTCAAACACTAGATACCCAAAAGGAGGTACCATTAAAAATGTGGACATTTTAATATTGATTTGGGAAATCAAACTGACTCAAATGATAGTAAAACGTTTCTAAATACAATGTATAGCTTGAGCCTTTATCACTGATATATAAACCAACAAGAATTGCAATGCATGGTGCTACAGTGATTGATAACATT